CCCCCAGTGCCCCCACCTTAAATCCGCCCCTGTCTTCAACATAATTTTACATTATCCCCTTAAAAACTTTCAAGATTTTAGACTTGTACTTTCTGTATTAATTGTTTTTCTTCCTCCACAATAACATTAGAAACTCTTCTCTCGCTCGCTCCAAAATTTGTGTATGAAATTGGCCCTTTCAAAGTAAATGTTTTCTGGTTCCGGCAGCAGGTCTAAACAAGAAACGTAGTACATTGAATGGTGTCCACTAATAACCATTAGCCTTAGGCTGGTGGTGGCCACTACCAAGCCTTTAAGGCTTTGGTTGTGAGGTGGGAGGCAAGGGTTCAATTTGCCACAATTGTGATTCTTCAAGAAATCCAGCCACCCCATTTGGTCCGGTGGTGATTTTGTCCCATTGGTCTTCCATAGGCCCAGTTGGGTCTCCTCCTAGTTAGATTAGGATAGAGTAGGAGTAGGGATGACGATTGACAAAAAAGAATGGTGTCCACTAATAATTTAGGGATTTTTACTCAAGGGTGGGTGCTGACTCGCTAATATATCTAAATTCTATCCAATCTACCGTGTATATACACTTATTAACAATTATTACCCTTCTTTATAATTTATACACTTTTTTCTAAAATATTAATTGGGCACTTGTTAGAAAGACTCATAATTAGAAATGTATACATTAAGGCACTAATCAGAAAAAATCCTCATAATCTTATCCAACCATATGATCTCAGGAATCAGAATGAGAAACCCTTAATACATTACCTTCTTAATGAATGCAGCTTTAACAAGATGTTAGCTGCTTCAAAAAAAAAAAAAAAAAAAGATGTTAACGTAAAAAAATAAAATTGATGTTAGCTGCAATGTATCTCATACAAGTAAACAGAGTTATGGTAACTCGCGCTGAAGTTAAACGTGTCAAATATGGCAATAACTCCCAAATCAATCACTGGATTTCTTCTTCTGATGCTTGGCATGATACACATTTTGTCTGTCTCCTTGGCATGATACACATTCTTTCTTCTCCCACCCCCAAAGTTGGGTGTTCACAGACAAAAGTAATCGGTTCATTTACAAATTCGTTGATCCTAATTGCATGCCACTGACAAAGAATTGAATTTGGCTGTGAAAAAGCTCCAAATAGGCACAGCGCGGTTAAATACACAAGTCAATGATGACATATGCTGGTTAAGCAAAATTTTGCTCAAAACTGCTCCCTTGTTTGGATTCCATTTTTGTGGGTTTTGTGTAGAAAATTATTGTAGAAATACAATCTTGAAATTTGGCTAAGCAAGGATACAAGTCAGATGTATGGCTAGACACATTTAACAATCTGGGGTCTTCAACGACAAAGTTGGCATAACTGTGAGCTCAACTCATAATTTGGCTACTCTGTCTGCTGGATAAAAACATGTTATCTCAGGTTGATACGCTCATTCATTTCTAAAGAGGGGTAATCACCACATTTCAAATGTCGTTTGGCCACAACAGACTTGTGATATGTTATAATTTTCTCAAGAATGCCTCTATAAGGGCAAACCATTTACCTTGTATTGAACTATTCATACTGTACCCGTTTTCACTCTGTTGGATTGCTAAATTAGCTTCATGTAGTTATCTGACACATATGTCCATGAAATTAGGTCACCTCCATTTGATTTAACCCCAAAATTAGATGCAATGTTTAAAAGTAAAGCATTCTAGAAGTTGACTGAGTGATCTGAAAACCAACTTTTTTTTTTTGGGCTAAAGCAAATGAGTAGCAAAATCATCTGAGAATGAGATGGTAGGTTTCAATTGTATATTTGCAATATTATATCTAAAGTTCCACAAACAGTATGTACCAAACTCCAATTCCTGGAAAAAATTCATTTCAAAGAAAGCCACCAACTCTCGTTTGAAACAAAACCTGCCAGCATTTTTTACTTGAAAGAGCCTCTCAACATCCTCGTTGCAAATGGTTTGAGAGAGAGTTCTGAGCGGTGGTGTGTTCCATTTACCTATTGCAGCATACTTCTTCATACCTTTGAACTGTGTTTTCGCTTCAATAACCAGCAAAATTTGTGTGAGAAACTGCAGGAAAATTCATTCCAAAAGTTAAAAAGAAGAGCATTATCAGTACTCAACCTGTCATCACCATGCTCTAAAAGCCGATTCACTTGATCAATATGAATTAGGTTCTTGGCAAAGGTTAGCAGGAAAGAATGTGATCTCAATGAAATCTCTCTTTTTGCACGTTGTCAATCCAAAATGACAAGCTCTGGCAAGAACGATGTAGGAGAATGTCGATTCAGCGTAAATGCTGCAAAAATTGGTTTAAAAGTTTTAGTAGATCAATTGCATTACCGTGGCAGTAAGAAATTCTTGGAGAAAAATTCAGTTGGCTAGATCACAGAACTATTCAAATCCACAAGCACAATGCCACTTTTTTCGAACGCCCTAACTGGCAGAGTCAAGCATCCCAGTTTTCACCATCAGATCAATGGAAACTGAACACAAAAAATGCAGACGCGCAAGGTGCCTTGTTCAAGCAAAAGTGCACTGATAAGTTTCATTGCACACTAAAAGATCAATCTATAAAAGCCAGTTGTTATCACCAGTGAGCCAACGCCTTGAAGAAACTTGAAAGTACACAACCCTCCAAGCACATGAAGCACTTGAACCTCAAAACCAAAGCCAAAGTGATTCGTATATTCATTAAAGATAGGGTAAAATACCCAAAAACTCCTTGTGATTTGCCAAATGTTCAATTTAACTCCCTCTAGTTTGAAACCTACGCTATAACTCCTTGTAGTTTCAACTAAATTGAAATTGAACGGAAAGCATCTAATCTAACGATTATACGTGAAATGTCAATATTGCCCTTATATAAATGAACTCACTATGGTTTATTGAATGTTCAATTTAACTCCCTCTGATTTGAAAAATTATATTATGACTCCCTATGATTTCGACTAAATTGAAAATTGAATGGAAAGCATCTCACGTGTATAGTAGGGGCAATATTGACATTTCACACACAACCGTTAGATTTGATGTTTTATGTCCAATTTTCAATTTAATCAAAATCATAGGGAGTTAATGGAAAGCATCTCACGTGTAGTGGGCAATATTGACATTTCACACACAACCGTTAGATTTGATGTTTTATGTCTACTTTTTAATTTAATCAAAATCATAGGGAATTATAGTGTAAGTTTTCGAATCAGAGGGAGTTAAATTGAATATCTGTCAAATTACAGGAAATTTTTTGGTATTTTACCCTTAAGGATATGTACTAAGGATAGGGCAAATAGGTCACGTACATGTATGCTTATTTATCTGTTTTCTATGTGGCATTTGATGATGGCTTGATTCATGCGTGCATAGGACCTTCTTGAGGTCTACTTTAATAATGACGCTCAGTCCATTTGTTTTGACCTACCAATTCAAAGATTTCCATCGTATCTTTCCCATTGCAAGAATTCACCCCATATTTTAAACTAGTGGCTACGTAAGGATAAGGGCAAAGCATTCTAGACAGCCACTCCACGCAAGCTATGACAAGCCCATAAATTAAAAAAAAATGCCCATCCATTCCATGTCCAAAATTTTACCAAAAGAAAAAGGATATGAGTATATAATTAAAGATTAAAAATTTTTAGGGTAAATTAGATTTATCTCCCCTTAGATTTAGTCAAATTGCAACTTAGACCCTTGGATTTGACCCTATTATCAAAAGACCCTCAAATACAAAAAATTGGTAACGTTTACACCCGTTTTGTTAGTGGAGGTTCTAAAATACCCTTGAAGCCTCTTCCTCGTTCTAACGACATTCAAAATTCTAACCTCATCAAAATAGGTAGCGGTTAGTCTCGTGCAAGCTATCAGAGCCACTGCTACTCGAAACCTTAATCTTTAATTGTTTAAATCCTCTCTCAAAAAAAAAAATGAAATATTGGGACACAATTTGTTGTATAAAAGATCTAATATTATGAAATCTACCAAATTCAATTGCAAAATTATCACATTCATGCCAAACTCTAGAAATATATGTCCACACATAAGACAATTGTTGGATTGAAGTAATTAAGGTGAAGTTTTGAGTAGATCATTAAGTTCATATAGATAAATCAAGTTAAAATTTATTATTTAGACAAACCAAAATGAATCAACAAGGACCAAGCTTTCAGATCTGAAGCAAACTCGGTTAATTTATAGTGCACTGATTTCTGTATATGTGTGAGAAATGCATTACATGGTTCCACCTTTTTATATAATGGATTCAATTCCAACTAGATGATGCATGTTGAAGTTGATCCAAGTGAAAAATATAAAATTTCCCAGTATTTTTTAAATGCTATTGCTGGCCTTATTGTGTTTGTCGCATGAGGCATCCGGTGATGGTTCAAAATCAAGTTCTTTAAATGTCTCCTAACTTCAACGGTGAATACATCGTTCTGTTCAATTTTCAAATCTTTTTTTCCCTTTTTTTTGGGTATAGCAAACAAAGTTCCTTAATTAGGTTAATAAAATGATGCGAAAAGTTGCATGCTTATATGCTTGAGGTACTTAATCAAAAGAATTTGAAAATTTTCAAGCCTTTGATTATTAATGTTCCTCTGTTGTTAGCTTTTTTCTATCTTCTTTCCCTTGTTTTGCTTCCAATATTTAAAGTTTTCATCTTAATATATTTTCTTTTCCTCATAATTTGGTTGCTAGTTTTTTCTATTGTTCTACCACATTTGCTCGAATTTTTTTTTCACCTTCACGTAAGAATGTCTCTTTCAAGATTCTTCTTTGCACTAGGGTGCTTGTGTCATTCAATTTGTCCATTAGGTACAATCGGACGGTATAACTGATAGGGGGATAAAGGTAATACGGTCGAACCTCAAGGATTGTTTTATAATTTGGCCAAGCTTGAAGGAGGTAAATGTAATTAACGAAATTTTTTTTTCTCATTGTTATCAGAGTAGACGAGGTGATTGAACAGTTATCACTCCTTTTTTTTTTTTTTTTTCAACAGCCTGAATCAGACTTTTGTTGTTTTATAAACCTAATCCCAGAATTAACCTCAAAAGCCGGCAACTCTTGAGGCAATCCCAGGGACTTATATCCCAACCCAAACCCAACCCCAACCCCGATGTGGGACAAATGTACCTATAGGGGGACCTGCTGCTAAGTGGGATACTACCACCCAATACCCTTTCAACCCTGAGGCAATTTGTAGTTATCACTCCTCACTGACTGACTCCACACTTGCCGTCCGCTCCGATCGATGTCGTCGGCTATGGCATGCATATTCCGGCGAAGTGTTCGCCGTTGCCCGACCTATCTTCGATGTAAATGTTTGTCAACGACTCCCTCGCGGCGTAAAGAATCAGAAGAATGAAAGAATAGAGAAGATACTGATAGCCAACAGGGGAGAATCGCATGTCGAATTATGAGAACTGCCAAACGATTGGGGATTCAAACCGTTGCCGTTTATAGCGACGCCGATAAGCACAGTTTGCACGTCAAGTCGCCGACGAAGCCGTGCGTATAGGTCCCCCCCCCTCGGCTCAGCTACTTAAAGGCGTCCGCCATTATCGAAGCTGCAAACAAAACTGGCGCTCAGGTGAAAACAACAAAATGAACTGGACTAATTTCATTGTTTTATTGGTTCCTTATTGCTTGATCAGTTGAAATTAGAATTGAAAGAAAGGGAGAGAGTTCCAGCCAGCTGCATTCTGCGTTTTGAATTTATACTTCTTACTTTGGATTATTTTGCCACTGCTCTCTGGTAGCTCCGGATGTTTAGAATGTAGGTTCTAACTATGTAATTGGTATTTTGTTCTTTGGAAAGAGAGAGCGTATATTTAAAAAAAAGTCTTCTTTGATGAATAGGCTATCCACCCAGGTTATGGTTTCTTATCAGAAAGTGCTGCATTTGCTCAACTTTGCGAAGATAAGGTTTAATTTTTATTGGACCTTCTGCATCTGCAATTCGAGACATGGGGATAAAAGGTACTTGCTGGATTCACACTGTGTGCGTAAATTTTTTTTTTTTTTTTTAAATATTTGTGTTTTTCTACATGTATGTGGGCTTTGTGTTTGATTTTTTTTACATCTATATGTGCAAGTTCATAGTATGTAGTTTTGTGGTACACCTATAGTATCTTAAATATAGCCAGACAGTTTTTAATTATGGACACATCCAACTATAACACGCACGCAGGAGGAGTTATCAGCTATTCAAATTACTACGGATAGGAGATAGCGAGTTAGTGGGTTTTATGTTGGATAAAGTTGGATGCCAGTTTGTTTCTTCAATCTACCTTGAGCTTTACTGAGCTGCAGTCAGGCTGAATATTGAGGTCAATTAGCTTCATATTCGGCATGCTTTGCAAGTTTTGTTGATTATTGGTGACCCTTTGCAAGTTAGTGCGCGTAATGCTCTAGCTTTGATTCATTGCCGATTGCTTCCCTTCTCTTTTCCCCATTCTTCATGATACTCATAGGAAAATCCATTAACTTTCTCGTTAATCTATGTGTATCTTTTATATAATTAGTGGTAACTACGAACTTCACTTCACATTTTTGCAAGTTTGTACTTATTCCTACTTTTCTTATTTTTACTTGTTGCAGAGGCTGAGCAATAATTAGCTAACCATTATCATTCTGCAATGCAGGTTTTAAATGTTGTTAATGAAGCTTTCACCCTTTTTGTTCCTATCTTATTGCATTAATGTATCTGAAGCCTGTTAATTTTATATTGTCCATTTTGCTCTTAACTTTTTACTTATATGACTCCATTTTGTTAAGTTCCTCAACATGAAGTGGAATTATTTCTATGTTGTTAGGAGGTTAATTCTAATATATCTTTATGGGTTTGGCTGGTCAGTGCTTCAAAGAGAATAATGGGCGCAGCCGCGTCCCACTTGTGCCTGGATATCATGGTCAAGAACAAGATATTGAGCTTATGAAGTTAGAAGCTGAGAAGATTGGTTATCCTGTCCTCATCAAACCAACACATGGTGGTGGAGGAAAGGTGTGCCTTTTGTTGAACTACCATTGATATTGGTAATGTTTTTGCATTTAACTGCAATTATAGAGGTATCAAAAAGAGTGAACAATGTTTTCTTGTTAGTAGAATCCTTTGATATGTAGGCTTAGAAACTGCAATATTCAAGGTGTGAAAACAGTAAGCTAGGGGTATAAAACTTGTAATCTACAAATTTACACGTCTTTTTTTAATCAATTTTGCGAATCATTCATGCAGTCTTTGATCTGGTATATCACGAGTCATGACAGTTTCCAGTTTTTGTGATTGTAACTTGCCTCAATTTTGGAAATGATTCTCCATATGTGTCTGCAGATGAATGCCGCAGACAATGTTACTAACATTTGAGTTATGATTTTAACCTCTCTGGTTGGGCTTAGTGGTTAGAATAAGTTTTTATGGTTATGCTTTACCCCTTGCTGTCCGATGTTAGTGATTTTTCTTTGGGGAATTGTCAGAAAGTAATTGATAAGATGCATTCTAATAGCTGAATCATACAATCAAAGTGGAAAAGAAATGCTGTTAGATAATTCAACTGATTATTAGTACAGTAACTTTCATCTGCTTAAATAACTGTTTGAGGAGGAAGTTTTCAGTGTTGTGTCAATTGCTGGGAACTTTGAACAACGGAGATTTGCTCCTTGTTCAAAAGAGTATTTCATCCATATCTCTGTTTTTCTGTTATATCAGGTATGAGGATTGTACAGAATCCTAGTGAATTTGTTGACTCATTTCTGGGAGCACAACGTGAAGCCGCAGCATCATTTGGCGTAGATACTATCTTGCTTGAAAAATACATCACAAAGCCAAGGCATATAGAAGTCCAGGTACTTCCACATGGTATTAATTATTTAATATGTGCCTTGTGCACTTTCACTTGCCATTTTTGGTTCCGTTATACAATATTTGTGCTAATATTACTCCTTTTAATTTATATTTGTTTGTAGGTTTTTGGGGATAAACTGGGTAATATTATTTATCTCTATGAGAGAGATTGCAGTGTGCAGAGAAGACACCAAAAAATTATTGAAGAAGCTCCTGCAGTAATGCTTTCTTCCTCCAATTCTAACCATCTTAGCTTGCACCTGTTTTTATATTTAAATAGTGATGTAAATCCTCAATTTTCAGCCAAACATCAACAACAACTTTCGCAACCACTTGGGCCAAGCAGCTGTTGCTGCAGCCAAGGTAATGCCAATCATTGCTTATTGGATGTCTTGCAGTGTTGAAACTTAGTGAGGGTTGTCTCACATAACCAAATTACTCATCAATTGCTGCTGATGAAGTCATGCTAAATTATATTTTCTGTTATTATGGGTAGCACTGTTGTTCTTTTGTTTTGTACCTATGCTTACAACCTTGTTGTACTCATGCATACCTTATGAAAGGGGTAACTTATGATGATATAATTTACCTTCCATCTCAATTGAAATTCCCGCTGTTTGCTCTCTCATATTTTATCCTATTCATTAGATGTAGGATGTGATATGGTTCCGAAGGATGAATCGGATATGGACAGTTCAAACAAGATTTCATTCTTGAACAAAAATCCACTTCATATATATATATATATAAGGGGAAAAGCTAGAAGATTCTTAGATGGTTCAATTTACAAAAATGTGAAGTTTTTCATTTCAACCAAAAGCATAGAAAATTAAATTAATTCCAATTAGAAGGTACATAGGTTTCTACTCAAAGGAGAAAACCCCCTTGGGATTGTTCAATGAGAAAGTGGTTTCACTTTAGTCTGTATATTGCTTTGAGATGGGTTTTGTTCAATTTTGTTCTTTGATCACGACACTAATCTTTAATTTTGTCCATTTTCTTCTCCACGTACTAACGTTTTCTTTTTTCTTTTTCATTTTTTTTTATTTGAAGGCAGTTATTATCACAATGCAGGAAACAGTTGAGTTTATTGTTGATACTCTTTCAGGACAATTTACTTCATGGAGATGAATACCGTCTTCAGGTGGTTCTTCAGGATGCCGAGTTTTCTTTCTGCTTCTAGTCTCAATAGCAACCAAGTAATTTTCATAGGGTATCTTCCTAGGTGGAAGCATCCTGTTACAGAGATGGTTGTCAACCAAGATCTTGTTGAATGGCAATACGTGTTTCAATTGGGGAACCTCTGCCAATTAGCCAGTTACAAGTTCCCCTTGTCAGGTTCCCTTCTTTAGAGTAACTTTGTTCCTTTCTCGACAGTTGTTATTGTCACCAATGTTAACAGGGTGCATGATAGCTGATTAAAAATTTGGTTTATGTGTTGGAGGTCTAAGATCAATTGTTAGGATTACGTGCAACCACAGGGGTGTAGTTCGAGTAGATGTTAAATTTTCAGTTCCCATGCTTGTTATTATTGCACCTCCAAGCAATGTAATCACAGAGACCGATAAGTTGTATTTATAGTTGTCTACTGGTAATAAGTAGAGGGAACTAGTTATATTGCCACTAAATCCAAACAATTACAATGAAAAGTATTTTTTCGGTTAAATGTTATTTTTGGCTGCACTAATTGGAATTACACTTCGTGTGACAGACAAAGTAGAAAATTCTCATGACTTTCTAAATTGGGTTACCTAGGTATTTCATTTGGGACAATGTATTTTCGTACTATCTGGGGATGTAAAATGATTTTGTATTTTAATGGTGTGTTCATGAAATATTGGACTGATAAGGCTTCCATCGACTTCCATCAAATGGATATAAATTCATAAAGTCTGAAATTTACCTACTTTAATTAAAAGGACAGATTAAAGCATTCTAAAATGTGGCCCAGACAGTGCTTGATATGTATAATGAGTCAAATTTGATGCAGCCATGCTTTTGAAGCCCGTATATATGCTGAAAATGTTCCAAAAGGATTTCTTCCTGCAACTGGTGTTCTTCATCATTATCGACCTGTTCAAGTTTCTCCAGAAGGTGCGGTTACATCAAATGGATGTTGCATATTAATGAAGTAAACAGTTAACATCACAGATATTGTCACAAACAGTAAAATTTGGCTGTGTTTCTGAGCTCAAAAGCGAGTATAACATGTGTCCTTTGGCTCATAATCAAGTGATGTTCATGCATTTTGTATATGCACTTTTGTACCTTCTAGAGTTTCTGTTTGGGTATTTATCTCATCCTTTGGATGTTTATGATATGAATTTTGGCTCATATTCATTGCAGTTCGAGTTGAGGACTGGAGTCACGCAAGGGGATATGGTGAGCATGCATTACGATCCCATGATTGCAAAACTTGTTGTGTGGGGTGAAGATCGCTCTACTGCTCTGATTAAGATGAAGGATTGCTTGTCGAAGTTTCAGGTACAAGATGTTCAACGTATATATTTAGCTGGAGTGCATGTTTCCTTACTGTAAAGTTGGAAAGTAGGTGCTTGTCTCCAATTCAACATGACAGGAACATTAAGGTTCAATGAGAGTCGAAGGATGGTAGCATTGCGCTTGACAAAGTTTGATTGTTAATACTGAGCTCAAATGATGTACCATTCAATTTCTCCTGAGATCAGTCCTCTGCCCTGATGTCTTAGGGACAAGCTTACCTTCATCTCCACACGAATCCTTCAGCTTGGCTTGGTTTTTTTCATCCCCAAAATCATTTTACAGCTTTCTAAGTTGTACATGCATTTTATTTGAATCAAAATGATACCGTGCTCACCTTTCTGACCAAGCTTACAATGTCTGGAAATGATAACACAGTTATAATTGCAGTTCAGGGAGCCATCTCACGAGGTTGCCAGGTGCAAATATTCCACTGAGGAATTATATAAGGATGTGACTAAAATAATATCATTATTGAACAACTTGAAAAGAAAATTTCCACTCTAGATAATTTTCTTTTTTTCTTGTTTGGATGTGACAGAGAATTTCTTAATAGGTAGATTCATCTTCTATCATCTTCTGATCATGTAGGTTGCAGGACTGCCAACTAATATCGATTTTCTCTCAAAACTTGCAAATCATGACGCATTCAGAAGTGGAGAAGTTGAAACTCATTTTATTGAGCGCTATAAAGATGAACTGTTCCTCAATCCAAGTGATTCAGTACTAGCACAAGAAGCATATCATGCTGCTAAACATGCTGCATCCATTGTAGCTGCTTGTTTTTGTCAAAGTGAACATGCAGCAGTAGAAAAAGATATCCCAAGTAGACTGAAGACCCATTTTTAACATTTTTATAACTAGTTACTGAAAAAACTCTCATTCTTCATTTGCTGTTTTCGGCAGGGGGACTTTCTCTATGGTATGCTCATCCTCCTTTTAGAATGCACCACAATGCCAGGCGTATAATGGAAATGGAATGGGATCATGAATACAACAAAGGAAGCAAAAAACTATTAAAACTTTTTGTCACTTATAAGTCAGATGGGAAATATGCGATTGAGGTACTTCCATTGAAGATTTAAGTTCAGATATGCATAATTTTATAGGTTCAACATTTGTAATGGAAAAGAGAAAAGCAAAAAAACTACCAACAGCTCAAAATATGTTATCCTCATTTTTAGTGATTTTATTCCATTTGCAGATGGAAGAAAACAGTTCACCTGCTCTGGAAGTTGATGTAGAACACTTGTCAGATCTTGATTTTAGAGTTGAAGTTGGTGGTGTCAGCATGAAAGTCAGTCTAGCTGTTTATTTCAAGGTTTGCACATACTTATTTTATGCTCAATTCATCCAATTAGCAACAATTTCATTTGGTAATAAAATTACCTCTGCTTCCTGTTCAGCAAAAGTTCCCCCCCCCCTACCCACCACAAAACAAAACAAAAAGACTGGATGCATTGAAGTGCACATTTAATGTTTTCAGGGTTTGCTAAAACTGCATTCTTTGTGGAAATAATTCGGCCATGATTGAAACTCTTCAATTGTAATCTGTCGGACTTGGCT